GATGTCCTTTTCCAGGGACGAGACTCGCCTGACAATACAGCCAAAGTATGGGAACTGAAGTCTTGCCACCCTCGATTCAGGCTGTACTTCTTCCAACATGGATTTGTTGGTTCTCCTGGCAGGCCACAGTACTTAAAGTCTCCTCGCCTGCACCCTAACTCAATGCACCAGTTCTTCTTCAGTCGTCGTTATGCATTGTCCAACTTTCACATACATTTGAGGCAACTGAAAATATCATGGAAAATAAGGGCCAACCACACCTTAGTCCTGAAAGTGGCATGCCTGCTCTTTAACACTTTAAAGATGTGCCCAATGCAATGCTTCCTCCGAAGGCTAGACTGCTATGTCCATGTGCACTGATTGTGGATCCTAGTGAAAGGAAATCCTTGGTAACGTCAACCTCTTCCTCTGGTTATCATGATATTCCTTATGGATCCAGTTGGACCAGGTGGCAGTGGTGCCTCACCACATCTCCATATGAGTGACCTTTTTCATGCCATGCCACCCAGGAAGACAGAACCAAGAACCATCAGAAGGCCATAGATCCCAAGGAACCATGAAACGCAGAAGGAAACGCTCAGCGCGTTTGCCCGTGCTAGTCTGCGCTCTCTTCCCACAGGGGATTTGGCATCTCCCTTCCACCTTGGCCTGCAGTGTGGCCTCATTCCCAGCTTCCCCTCCGGGATCTACTGACAGCACTGGATGGTGCTTCGAGGTGGGCTTTCTGTGTGCTTGCATGAGTCCACACGCATATGATCTTCCACTGTGACTACTTTGGGTAATCAAGAGACGGGCTATAATATGCATTTCACCAACAGGACTTTGGGGACCTTAACTTTATCGGTGAGAGAGCTTATTTTCCACATTCAATCAGGATATAGCAGGAAGTCAAGTAAGTCACCCCTCGTCAAAGGATGAAAATCATTCTGTCACCCCTCTGTGTCGGCCACCTTTGTTCCTAAGCCTGCCTGGCATACCTTCTTCTTTGTAGGGTGAGGGTGGCAGTTTTGCAAGGATCTCTTTACTGCCCTCTGTTAAGCTCAGGTTAGAATTATCTAACAGACTTAGCATTCACTAGAGCAGGGGTGGGCAAATTTTTGAGCTGAAAAGAGCCAATCCTGTCTCTCACAACAATTAAAAAATTATTTGAGCATCATAAATATATCTTTACAAACAAATGAAATCACCATTATCTTAATAATAGCCTTTAGAACTTTTATAAATGATAGTTTCATTTTCAATTTTACTTCAGAGTCATGTGTATATAGGGTTACAGGAACAGAAAGTATTATCTTTCTCCCCTGGAGTGTCTGGTGGTTTCGAACTAACCTTGGAGTTACAGCTATTAAAACCCTTTTTTACATATGAGTTTCATTTACATGTAGAGCTTCTGTCACCTGTTTCACAGAAGGCATGACTTTAATGATGCTGGAAATAGAATTCTATCAAGTGCATTCCATAAGTCTGTGGAATTAAGGATGGCTCAGAATCCACCAGAAAACTCCAACTGCAGTCCACTCACAACCCCTTTAGAACCTGCTGTCAAAGCATCCAGTTACTGAGAGGAGCAAAATCAGTCACACTTGCTGCCAGTGCCCACCACCTGGGCAAGAAGGCTCACGGAGAGTGGCAGCATTTCTTGACTCTGGTTCTTTGGCCCAAAGCCCTTCCCCTCATTTTTTTATTAATTATAGATTTACCTCAAGTATAAGGAACCATAGAGAGAACCTGTACACCCTTTACCCACCTTCTGCCAATACTATGAAATATAATCTCACAAATGTGAAACTGACATGGACACAATCTACAGATCATAATCTGATTTCCTCATTTGGTGTGAGTGGTGTCATGTAACTAGGAGCTACACGTTGGGCTGCTAACTAGGTCAGCAGTTCGAAACCACCAACCGCTCCTCCAAAGATGGGACTTTCTACTCCCGGCAAGAGTTAGTCTCAGAAACTCACAGGGATGGTTCTACCCGTCCTACAAGATCGCTGAGTCAGCATCGACTCAATGACAATGAGTTTAGCTTGTCTGGCTTGGTTTTAGTGTCATTAGTTCCATACAATTTGTCATGAGCCAGGATACAGAATGGTTCCATCACAAGGACCGCTCGTGTGTCCTTGTAACATCACTCCCACCCCCTCCCCTTCTCCATCTGATTTCTAACCTTGGGCATTCATGTGATCTTTATTTCTATAATTCTGTCGTTTAAATAATTTTATATAAATGGAATTACACAGCACCTAACCTTTTGGAATTGTGTTTTCCCATTCAGCATAATTTCCTTGCGATTCATCCAAGTTCTCGCATGTTATTAACCATCTGTGCTTTAAACTGTCAAGTAGGAACCAGACCACAGTTTAACCATGGACCCACTGAAGGACACGAGCTTGTCTCCAGTCTGGCGATGACAACTACAGCCGCTGTGCACATTCCTGTCCTCCTTCCTCTTGTGTCACGAGTTGATTCTGATGCTCGGATTTCACTCAGAGCTTTGTTCCTGCTGTGGCAAACACGACTTGTCACACAACATCCATTCCAGGACAACACCGAGTGGTTCTGGATAATCTGCCCGGAAGCCCCCTGCAGACATCCATCACCAGCTCAGCGCCTCCAAGCTTTTTCCTTAAAGAACAAGGATGGGACTGGGGCTCAGGCCACCTGGGCTCACACTGCAGGGGCTTTGGCCATGTGAACTTTGATTAAGCAAGTCACTTAACTCTCGGAGTTGGTGTTGAGGGCTCACAGAACCTCAGGCAAGTTAACCTTTCTGTGCTTCAGTTATCTCATCTGTAAATGGACATATAGATAGTAACTATCTCATGGGGCTGCCATGAGGATATTAATACATGTAAGATGTTCAGAGCAGAGCCTGGCACATAGTGCTCATCACACATTCATACACTATTCTGAAAACCGAACACGACTGTTTTACTAAATCCTATCTATGACTTGCAGCATTGCCAACACTGACTCGATGGCAATGAGATGTGACTTTAAGGAACCCTGGTGGTCCTCCTAGGGAAGTATAGGGCTGCTAATGACAAGGTCTGGGTTCAAACCAACCAGTTGCTCCATGGGAGAAAGATGAGGCTGCTTGCTCCTGTAACAATGTAAGTATGTTGTGTCATGCTGAGTTAGACTCTTATTCTGAATTCTTTGAATTAAGTTGAATCCTTATTTTGAACCTTTTGCTTCAACATATAAACTCAATATGCAGGCTTTACTACCTTCAAGAATATGCATGGGAGAGGTAAAGGAAGATCCAATTGGGCCTGAATCCAGTTAAATGGGGTTAGCTGTAGCTTAACAACTTCTCATCTTAGGGTGGGAGTGGGGGATGTTTGAAGCACTGAGCAGGCTGAAATAATTTGTGTGGCTACAGATATAGTATTCTACAACCTTCTCTGAGACTCTAATTCTTTACAGGAATTGCCAGCCTTTTAGTTTTCTTGTGTAACAGCTGGTATGTAGTTAGCAGCCAAGTGCTTAACCAACAACACCACTAGAGTTCCTTGTCCTGATTAGAAAACCAATTCACTACTATAGAGTTGATGCCAGCTCCCAGGTACCCTGTCAGGTAGGACAGAGGCGCCCCTGTGAGACTGTAGCTCTTTATGGGAGTAGATGGCCTGGAACCTGACTTTACCGCTAGCAGCCCAACGAAAATTCAGATTTGTGCATGTGTGCATCAGAGTCGTAACTGTGTGAAGAAAACCACTCACTGCGGTGAGACACAGGCATGGTCATTAAGGGAACTGGAAAGGGGACCGGCACACTTTAGGTAAACTTCAGATACCACAACTTAAAAAGGATTATAGTACCAAAAGGGTATCAAGAAGCTATATCACACACCTAGCCCACATAAAGTAGCAATGAAGCTACCACCAACCTAAAATGGTCACCATAAACCAGAGGTTCCAGAATGGCCTCTCAGTTAACCTGCCAATGCACATGCTCTTGTTCCTCTCTCAAGTCAAAGGGA